CAGTAAGCCAGCTTGATTTCTTCCCTGCAGGGAGACTTTATCTTTAATTTACTGGATAGTAAAAACACCTTTGCTCCAGATGAGATACTATGTCTATCTTCCAAGGCTATTTGTATAACAAACATCCTTGGAAAGACAGCCTGGAACAAAGACAGTGAGTGTCTTTGCTTGTAAGACATGCAGAAATACAAGAGACCCATGGAGAATTGTCTCTCACCTCAAATATCCTAAAAAGGCTGCTTTTCTGTTTTAAACAAGAAAGTAGAATTTTTTAAGGTTCAAAGATTATAGAGCCTAGCTTTGTTTGGTTTGGTTTTATGGAGTTTAACCAGCCTTTTGGATGGGTATCAATAGGAAGCATAAGACTCTTCTGCCATAACACTTAAATTTAGACGTTATACCTAAATAACTCTAGCTCTTCAAAAAGAAATTTTTCATGTGCTGTTTGCACATTTAAAGATTATGACAGTCCCAGGGATGTGGAACAGAAGGTTCTAATTTAGAAGTTTATATAGCTGTTTCACTCCAAAATATATTGGGTTTAGAGCAGAGAGGCTTACACACTAGAAGTTCATCAAATGTTTCAAAAGAGATTTTAATATTCTTCATGTTTCTCCCTAGACCCCAGGCCCCTGATATTCAGAACCACCACAGTCAAAGGTTTTGTTGGTGTTCAGCATTCTTTTCCAACATTCTTGTGATAATTACATATCTTTAGAGAAAAAGTATATTGCATAAATTATTATTCTTTAAACAGGAGAGTTTTGTTATCAAGTGCAGTCACCACACAATCATATTCACACACTGGGGTTGTGCTAAATGTAAGCGTCTACCTTTAAGATCTTGCAAAACTTCTTTTTTTCTTTTAAACCTTAGGTTTCAGTTATTACCAACATTCACACTGCCACTGCTCCTTTATTTTAGCTAATTAAGTTAATGGTCATTTTGATTGAATAAAGTGGTGAATTATTTGGTCCTCTGGTGTCAGTCATTAAAATAATAACAAAATAAATTTAAAAAATAGTATCTGAATGATTTTAGACTAAATTTGCACACAAGAAAAAGAGGAAAAACTTGAAGAAATATGTGTCCTTAGCTAATTGAATCTCATTTTCCTCTTTGGAATTAGATGATGAAGCGATAGTACCTAACAGAATCAAAGTCTAAAACTGCATTTTGTAGCATAAGCACAGCTAAGCACACGGTGGAGTGACACCATCAATTCTATTACCATCAGCAACTGTTCACATAATACATTAGTGCTGAACGTTATTTGCAGCCCAGCACAATGACAGTCCTATGCCCTTGCAACTTATGAATACTGGGCAGTAAAGATATTCAAGAAACAGTCCAAGGTTTTAACACTATCTTAATAAATACAAGCATTCATTTAGACCCTGGCTCCTGGGCAAATCAAGCTGTTGAAAACTCTGCAGCCTAAGCATAGAACTTCCTCCAAAGTTGATAGGCGTTTTCTGGTAAGAGTTTCAAAACTTCCATGAGACTTTCAAACCTGGGCCTACCATGTCGGGTGGTTGAGGAAGAGCTCAAGCCAAAAAGAAAGTGTGCCTGGAGAGCCACAAGGTTTAAATCTGAAAACACAGGGAGTGAAACAACAGCCTCTGGGAAAACTGTATCAATGACAGAAATACAGAGGAGATAAGCATGGCTGTTTACATGCAGTAGGGCTCAGTCATTTCCATTGACTGCCCCTGTTAATCCAAATACATGTCTCCACTACACATGGAGACACTTCAACTTATTTGCCCATCATGGTCTCTTTATGACACTCTGTGCAGTCATAAACACTGTCTGCAGATTGCATCAGGACCAGGCAAGTTCTGACGGGCAGCCTGATTTAATACCCTGTGAAATGTGAGTTCCAATATCTGTGCACAGTTATCTCCCAGCAAATCCTTGCAGCATAGAAAAGGCCTTAAAGACACGTGCTGATGCTGACATTTATAGAGACATATATTGTTGAGGTAGTCCTGGGGTGATGAGGTTAAAGGTGGAATAATAGGGGTCAGGGAGAATTGCTTCAGGACCTGCTAAACTGCAGTGGCTGTGCTCTCTGTAGACGTTCACTATGTCTTTGGAAACTGTGGATTCCTCACAAGCAAATAGCACACAGCATCTCCTGTGGGCCTATCATCAGGGACGGGGGCAATGAGGAGAGCCAGAGACAGCCACCACTTCTTTACTGTGGCATGTGGCAATAATTTGATTTTCCTTGGTGGAGAAATTAGGCCATCTCATTAGAAAAGCATCAGTGATTTTAAGAAACTTTACACTTGTCATTATAAATATCAACATATTAAATCCTCAGGTGATGGTGTATACCTTTATATGAACTGAAATAAAGCTTCTCTGTTTCTCCTGTTTGGGGTATTCACACGGAGACCTGTGAGATTCTGGCACTGTCTTGCTCCTAGGTCTGCGTGGAAAGCCTATTGTCCTTTCAGTTAATTGGTCCTATCTTGCTGCAAGTGCCAACTTGATTTTTATTTCACTATCTCTGGATCTGAAAACCTGTGATTTTATGGTTCTGAAATCATAATTAAAATAATATCTTCTTTATTTTTGACTTGACAGGCTCCATATTAGGAGGTGAACTATCCTCATCAAAACACTTGTCAGTTGTTGCAACATCCATTCTATTAGATAAACCAAGGTATCAGTTCTTCATTTCTATTAGAAGAAGAATTTAGAAAGAATTTCAAGTTCTTTCTAAAAAGAAGTAGGAGCTTTCAGCAATGATACATTATCTTTTGAACTGTCAGGTGCAAGGTTTGCCTGACAAGTTTCCGTGAGAGACTGAAGGACGTCTCTCTTTCAATATTCAGTTCATTGCTCACTGACCGGTCAAACTGCACAGGGATGTGGCTCAGTGCTGCACTGACTACATGCCTAGGAAATGCTCTCGGTTTGTTCTTAGGCAGGCCCTCGGCAGTTCAGACTGAATGCTTATAACTAGTACTTTGTGCATCTGTCCCATCTTGTTGGCGACCCATCACTTTCTGTAATAGCAGGACCAGCTCATTCTCATCTGTGGCCAACATGACTCTGATGACCACAGCAATGATTTTCCCCAAAGCCACCAAATGATTCCAAGAGGCCATGATGAGACATGATGAAAGGTGGGGAGGGGAAGAAGGGGGTTTCGAGGTGATGAGGTGGGGATGGAAATAGATCAAGAAAGCCTGTGCTAATGCCTCCACTAAAAGAAAATGTGTCCCTTCCCTCACCTCCTCCTCATGGCTGCTAGAGCAAAAGGCTATAGGGACCCTCCGCTCCGCTTGAGCCATATTAAATACCCACAGCAGGGAGGGACACAGGGGGACTAGTCTTGGTATAGATTGTTTAGCGTCAAAAAGTTGGATTTACATAATTGTATCTCGTATTTGCCCAAGGACAGATTTTACAGAGGCTTCACCAGAATTCTGCAGCTATCATTCTACTCAGAGCCAGATCCCTAGTCTTGCAGCGCTCAAGGCAAGTTACCTGAGCAATGCACTGATTTCTAAGGATAGAATCTGCAAGAACCTATCGAAGATCTTTGGGAGCAGGAACAGGAGGGGAGGGATATGGAATTTTGTGTCTGAATTCCCTGCTAATTAGAACAATAACAATCATGGTCCTTTTCTTAACAATTTTATTCCAGGCTCTAAAGGTAACCCTATATAGATTTACTTGGAGAAGATATTCAAGAAAAAAATGTTTTTCCTGACCTCTTCTATTATTTATTTTTTTCTTACTTTAAAACAGCAAATTTACTAAGAGCAGATGTTTTCTCTACAGAGAGTGATGGTGTCATGAAAGACATTGTTAAATTAGAGGCACAGCTGACTGTGTGGTTCTGGCACAGGTGGCCCAAGTGGTTGCTGGCAGGTGGGACTCCTCCCTGGCCTCCTCTAGGCTAGGGTGGTGCAGCTGGTCCATATATAATCGCTGGCTGTCCAACACAAGGTGACTTAGTCAGCAGTAAGCCAGGGCTGGGCAGCTCCTAAATCCTTCTTTCAAAGGTGTTTGTACTCCAGATTTAATTATTCATTAACTAATACTTATTGAGTCACCCCCAAGAGAGCACCGTGATTAAAAAGCACGAGTTCCAGAGTGATTTGCCAGGGCTTAATGCCACCTCCGCCACTCATGAGCCCCATGACCTTGGCTAATTATGAATTCCTTAAGCCTCAGTTTCCTCTTCCATAAAAGAGGGAGAGTAATAGTTCTGGTCTTGTAAGATTTTGTGAGGATCAAATGAGATAAGGTCTGTAAAGTGCTCAGCTCGTTGTAGGGACTCGCAGCCAATTTATTAGGCAAACTCGGTTAGATAGGCTGTGAGCAGGAGACAAGTTAATTTGCTCCTCGGCCTCCCTTTCTAATTCCATGGAGCAGGTCCTATTAGGTTCCCTGTCATTCTCAGATAATAAAAAGTCCTTTGATGAGTTTTCATGCCAAGAAGAGTCTCAGAAATTCAAATGTTTAGTCTGGTATACCAATCAAACCTTGGCGCTCTATTTAATTTAGAGGTTCTCTCTTCCTAGCTCGCCCCAGGCCAGGAGGCCCAAGCAGAAATGAGAGAAGCCACGTCCCTCCTCCCAGCCTCAGAGCTTTATTTCCTACGCACTCCGTAGCTATGATGCTGGATTTCTCCAAGGTCACAGGCAAATAAGATTGCAGAAAAGGGCCCAGAGGGACTGACTTTGAGGTTTTGTGCTTGGCAGGTGGCCCCACCCCTTGCCCCTCTCATTTGCATTTGTCAGGCCTGTGTCACATACAGCACTTCAAATCCCTGCCCCTACTCTGGGGACCACTGTCAGGCTCTCTCAGGGTTCCTCCTGAACCCTTCCTCACTTGGCTGGAGGTAAGGAGCAAGCACGTGGCCTGCTCTCCAGCTGCGAATCACACAGGACGAGGGTGGAGGTTGGGGGGCTGCCCCTCCGTTTCTGTGGCTTCTGATCATTGTGCGGTGCCCACCTCCTCTGCCTTTCCCCTAGTGCCCTGGCTGGTGCTCAGTGAGATTTTTCCCGGTGGAATCAGAGGAAGAGCCATGGCTTTAACGTCCAGCATGAACTGGGGCATCAACCTCCTCATCTCGCTGACGTTTTTGACCGTGACCGGTAAGGCTGTGTCTTCTTCTACTAATGCCTTTGGGAAGCACATTCAACTAAAAAACATTTTACTGTGGGCATTTTCAAACACATTCCAAAGTAAAGAGAGTGGCAAGGAACCTGATGTACCTACCACCCAACTTAAAGGGTTGTCAACCTTAATTCATTTAAAACATCACCTCCTCTTCCCCCCAACATTGTTTTATGACACATCTCAGACAGAATGTCATTTGTCTATAAAGTTTCAGCATGAACCTCTAAAAGATAAGACATTTAAGAACTATAACCACAATATCATTATCGACCTAAAAATATTAATAAAAATCCCTTGGTATCAATATCCGGTCGGTATTCACATTCTTCAAAGTGTCTTATAGTTACTTTTTTATATTTTGTTTGTTTGAATATATATAACTTACAGTTGATTGATATGTCTCTTGCATTTTGTAGGTTTCATCTTCATTTCTCCTCCCCTCCCTCCCCCTCACTTTATATTTTTAATGAAGAAACTGGATCATTCATTTCATAGTTTTCCCCAGGCGGGATTTTGCTGATTGTCGTCATATCGCAGGACCTCTGTCCTTTGTGTGTCCTGAAAACTGCTGTTTAGATCTAGAGGCTTGAGGAGATTTAGATTTTCTTGTCTCTTTGTTTGCAAACTCCTTTGTAGGTGACAGCTCTGCCTGGCCATCGGAGGCCTATCTCATTTGCTTGTCACATGGGCTTCCTTTGAGGATCATTGCCCAGATCCATTATTTTTATTCTGTCATTCCTTCTAAATTTTTATCTCTAATACCTCTCTAAGAAGAAATGTCTTGTGTAACTATTAGAAGGAATTTCTAATAACTATCAGTTATTTGCCTACCCTGAAGTATGGGTCATTTAAGAAAGAAAAATTAAATACTTGAAACTTTCTCTTTATTTTTTAGTTTTTGAAATAATGCGTGGTTCCGTAGCATCCCCCAAAACTGACCAAGGAGTTGAGTTTTCGTTCTTTCCTTTTTAAAAAAATGTGTAGAAATACATATATATATAAAGGTTGCAAAAAAAAAAAAAATCTAAATCTCCTCAAGCCTCTAGATCAGCAATTTTCAGCTGATCAGCAATTTTCAGCTGATGTGCTGCAAGAATTTTAAAACATGCGATACCTGGCTATTTCATCAGGGCACTGACCTCTTTTCTCTTAGGTTGTCAAATAAAAAAAAAAATGACAACAGCCAACACAACAATAGCTGTCCAGTGTGAATGAACCAAAATTAAACCTATTTTTTTCAGATCAGCAAAATATATAATATATTTTTGGTGTGCTGCAGAATTTTAGTAATTAGTTTATGTGCCAGGAGATGAAGAAGGTTGAAAATCGCTGCTCTAGATCTCAACAGCAGTTTACAGGAAACAAAGGACAGAAGGTCATGCGATATGAAGACAATCAGCAAAATCCCACCTGGGAAAACTACAAGGTGAATGACCCAGTTTCTTCATTAAAGATATAAAGTGAGAGGGAGGGAGGAGAGGAGATATGGAGATAAAACTTACAAATTTTAAGGGACATATCAATCAATTTAAGTTATATGTTTGAGTCACGATTCAAACAGAGTATAAAATATAATTATAAAACCATTGGAAGAATGTGAATAATATGTACATATTATGTATAAATTTTCAAAAATGGATGTATATGCAAAAGTGTATACATCTATATATCTCTATATAGTACTTCTTAATCTTGTCAAGCACTTTTTTCCAAATACATCTACATCTGGAACTTTGGGAGTTGTTAAATAAGCATGGATTGAGTTTTATAGAAAATTTTAAAATGTTTGTATCCTTCCTACTTTTTTAGAAATAGCCCAATATTAAAAGAAACAAAGGAACTGGTCATTAACACCCACCTCTCCTACTCAAATCACACCTAGAGACCTGTGCCCTTCACCTTCACCTTCACACACACACACACACACACACACACACCCTTGTCTGCTGTTTGGTGTGGAAAAAGAGAAATATAAAAGGAAGAATGGAAATCATAAGAGACAAAAACAGATGGCACGAACCTCTGGGAAGGATAGTGAATAAGGATGACTAAAGAAGATTCCCAAGTTCTTCAGGGGCTCTTAGAACAAATGTTGGGATAATCTGAAATACGTAGATGACTTTTAACTAGGCTAAGCCTGAAATTCTACACTTGCTTTCAGAAGGGTTGCAGTGTGTCCACCAAGCAAGTGCAACCTGGATGACATGGGCACGTGATGGAACTCAAGGGGTTCGCTGGTTAGATGAGACATGTGAGATGTGTTTGTCACAAGAGAGTTTTATTTACTTGCAGCAGGTAAAGGACGCAGGGGATTGACATCCAAAGCTCTGCCTCCCTGAAGGGGGGCTTAGCCATTGCTTATATACACTATTAGGTCAGTTCCATGTTGTTACACGTATTAGGTTGGGTTCAGGTCAAGCTTATTCTCCTTGCTGGTCTGCAAAGTGCTGTACTACATTTTATCATTTAGCAAGAATAGCATTTAGCAAGAATGACCCAGACCCTGAGAGGCTTGTCCTATCTAACATTGTGGTTGTGGAGAACAGTTGCAAGAGTTCAGGGTGTTTGACTTGGACGAGAGGATGCTCAGGGAAGGGATGAGGGTGCACAGAAATATTTGAGTTCTGTCTTGGAGAGGGACAGGGAGAGCTGATCCAGAAGACAAAGCAGAACCTCTGAACCGGAGTTCCTGGAGGGCAGGCTTGCACTTAGGAACTGGTAAGGAGCGCCTTTCCAACAGGTAGGGCTGCTCACCTTGCACAGACAATCTTTGTAAAGTGGTGAGCCCCCTGTTACTGAAAGTGCTCAAACACAATAGGGGACAGACAACCTTTGGGGGTTTTTTACTCTTCATATACTGGTTTTATGCCCCAGAATGAAATACACTTTACTAGCCACTCACTTGGGCAAAACCCTGTGCCAGCAGCAAGAAGAGCACAGGGCCATCAGTGTAAATAGAATGCCGGGACAGCAGTGCTGTTCCTCCTTCCTGCCTCTCCCCTCCGCGGCACAGCTGACTGGTGGTTAATGTGCTCAGCTCCTTCCACACTGCGCTTATGAAGCTGCTTCGTATGGAACTGTTTGGTCAGTTTTCCTGGTTGGCCGGTCGGGATTAGTGGCTGCAGCTGCTGAGGACTGTTTGCAAGGCTGCAGCCTGTGGTTGGTCTGAGCCTGTGTGCAAAAAGAGCCAGCTTCCTTCTCACCACTCTCAGCAAACCTGGACTTTCTGCTGCTGAGCCAGGGACGGCCTGCTGCAAATGCAGGCTCNACCTGGACTCTCTGCTGCTGAGCCAGGGACGGCCTGCTGCAAATGCAGGCTCAGGTGCATGGGGGGCCATCTCTCACCAGCTAACGTACTTTGACCTTGGTCAGTAACTACAAAGGGACTGTACCTTTGGCCAGAAGTCAGAGGGAAAACTAGGCTGGCAGGTGAGATCCATCTGGCTTCTTGCTGCTGCATCTGAGCAAGCAAATGACTTTCATCATCATTGCTTTTTTCTCTGAATGCAGGAAGAAGCATTGCAAATACGCTAGCTACTAAATGATAAAATATTGCCAACATGACATGATTTATTCGAATCAGAGTAGAGAAGGGTTTGTTCCAAGAAAATCTATCTGTATCAATATGTCTTTTAAAATGTCCAATAGGAACCAAACTGCTACCTCAGTGATTCCCAGAGAGGAATTGTGGAGCTGAGGAGAGGAGGTGTTTTACCTTCTGCTTTATGTTTCTGTTGTTTCAGGTTCTCTTTGCAATGAGCAAAAAGAAAAGCATGCTCACCAAGAAGACAGCATTGGGTTTAAATTGTGATGGTTACACAACTGCTATTTATTCTGCCAGAGAAAGTTGGGTGGTTTGTAAACATGAAACTCTCAGACCCTGGCTATCTAGCTTTCATTTGTATTGCTGTTTCCCAGGACACTACTGCGTGCTTGAAAATACATGTTTTATGCTCTAAGAAGCAGCTGTCCACAAGCAACACAAAACACATTTATAACCAATTCCTTTTGTCCTTTATAGATCTCATTGGCCTGCCATGGGTGTGCTTTATATACGCAATCATGAGTCTTGCAGCCCTGGGCTTTATTGTCATGTTTATACCTGAGACAAAGGGATGCTCTTTGGAACAAATATCAATGGAGCTGGCAAAATCGTAAGTAGGATGTGCATTGCTCTCTGAACAGCACTCTTTGGTAAAAATGCAGCTTTTATATACAACTAAATCATAATACCTGACAGTATTTTAGGATATTCCCTTTTGTGTGAAACCATATCTCAAAGCATAATTCCAGTTTCTCTGCCATATATTTAGTTTGGGTGACTCAGCTAAGGAATTAGAACCTTTTAAAGCTCTTTCCAGCAATGATCAAAGAACTCTTCGCATCTCCCTAGCTTCCCCTGACGCAGGGTTTTTTTGTTTGGGGTTCAGGGTAGATCCCGGAAAGTCAGGCTCACCTGCACTAGACCCTTTGGCTTCAGTTCTTCCATCTCTACCATACTTGCCTGTCTCTTTAGGCCGTAAGCACTTGTTAAGGCTAAGATTATCAGGAAAATTAAGGCTTACATGTCTACAATTATTCCAAATAGGCCACAAAGTAAATTATTTTTTTTTAATCTTCACCCGAGGGGACTTTTTTCCATTGCTTTTCAGAGATAGTGGAAAGGGGAGAGAGAGAAACAGCAATGAGAGAGAGACACATCGATTGGTGTGTGCAGTGGGAGTGGGAAAAGGTCTGTGCTCAGCTGAGTGAGACACTGGCTGTCCCAGAGCACTCTCTCCTCCGCCCCTGCACATGTCACTTATTGAGCACTTTGCTGACCATCTCCTGGCCAGGCACCGTACCAGGAAAGAACTGAAGGTACAGGAGATAAAGAGCCCATCGCTTCTTTAAGAGGCAGGCCAGCAAACAGGCCATGGCAATACGCCGCACCGGGAGGCAGGAAGGAAAGTACATTGGAGGGTTTCATCTCTCAGCGCTCCCCGAAAAAGAGAGAATGCCAGAGCAGAGTCCCGAAAGCGCTCCCTGGCCAGAGGAACGTGTGGGCCGCAGAGGAGGGGTGACAGGCAGAGGCCAGCACGCTCACCCGTGTGGGACGAAGAGGGCAGCTTCCGAGCTGGGGACCGAGGGATGAGCCCAGAGCACAGGGCGGAGCCGTCAGCAAGGGTCTTATTCGTCCTGGGAAAGGATTTGGATTTTATCCTGAAAGTAGTGGGACATGGTTACAACAACAGTGCAGGGGGAAAGTAGGCAGATTTTTGAAGAAGCACTCCTGCAAAACCTGGGCAATGGAAGGGGAGATGCCGAGCGAGGGAGGCCTTTGAGGAGCGTGTTGGGGGAGTCAGGACACTTGGGGGAGTCAGGACACTGCGTGCGGGGATAGAAGCCACACAGCTCGGAGCCAGACTGGAAAGGCCGCGAGGGAGCAGAGGGAGCTGGGATCTCTCGCTGGCTCAGGAAACTAACCCAGTAAACGATGGGACATTCAGTGAAGACCCAGAGCGGGAGAAAGAGGCGGCTTGGGAAGCATGAGTCTGGGGGCTGGTCGGGGACAACACCGAGTTCAGTTTGTAGTGTCTGTGAGGTGCCCTGTGGGACATGCAAGTGGAGGGGAAAGGAGGCCAGTGTTCACTGGGAGCTGGAGTTGAGAAACACCTGCGTTGGAGAAATAGATTTACTCCTCAATACACAGGTACACAAGCAGGGGCAGATCCACATTTTGTGGAGCTTAAGCTTTTGAGGGCCTGGTTAAGAAAGAGATTACAAATTATGAATGCAAAATTATACACGACTACGTGGGTCTTGCAAGGGGCTGTGCAGGTGGGGGTCCTGGGCTTCCATCTTACTGGCTTTTTGGAAACCCACCTCGTGTATGCGCCCTTTTGAGCTACCCATCTACTAGCCGGGGGAGCAAAATCCCCTTAAAAATAAAGGTTTGTTCAAATCCTTGTGAGCAGCGCTAGCTGAAAAACTGAGGCAGGGGGGAAGTAGTAATGAATTCATCGAAGGAAGCTACCCTGCTATATCACTCCCTTTTTGCGCTCTTTCTTATAAAGTCAACTTGAAGGCAGGATGTTCTGGATGAGTTAAGGTTAAGAAACTTTCAAATCTATTCTGACGGGGCTGTCAGAATGTATCAAACTGCAAACCCAATGAAAATGTGAAGGCAAAACTTAAGAAGGGCCCATCTTTCGGTCTAGTGGGACTCCAGAATAAGACATTCCCTAAGAACATACGATCTAAAGCTGAACAAAGCTATTCAGTCAGAATCTGGGGTGGGAAAGGAATCTGTCTAAATGAGTAAGACTGAATTAGGCCATGTTTTTGAAAGAATCATATTTCTGTCACTTTTGAGTCATGCGGTAACTCAAACCCAAATGCTCTCCAAGAAAGTTATAAATTGTAAAGTAGGATGGCAGCTAAAGCCAAGGGTAGACCCCCAGACAGACCACACAAGTCTTGAGAAGTTGGTATTAAAGAACAAAAGCAGGTAAGGGCACTGGTGCAGAGAGCCATGAAAGATGAGGCGGCGAAATGATTCTGCATTTTAAACTCATTTATAGCAGCAGGGGCAGTATCTGCTGGGTGTATCCGTGTGGCGAAGTCCAGTGCTGACGGCAGGCAAGAAACAAAGTTGTTTGCAGAAACCTTGGGGAACTCCCACTTACGCAACACTGGGGAGGCTGGGGCTCGTCTTAGCTTGAAGCAGCAGGTTGGCAAGGCTTTAAAAGTGAAAATGTAAGCAGCCTGAGTCGTGTCGATTGATCAAAGTATGTATGAAGTATGCATGTTAAACAAGGGTCCCTGGAGGGAAATGTCAGAGGCAGAAATAAAAATAAAATATGTAATGGTACTGAAAGGTATCCAGCTCGCGCAGTAAACGTGGGGTGGCAGGAAGCCCAGGGAACTTGCGAGGACACAGAAGCTGAAGTGAACCTGAAGACTGAGGGAGGACAGGGCTGAGTTAAGGGGGGTCTGTGAATTCAGGAGTTAAGGAAACGACGAGGCAACTTTTGTCACCAGGGAAACAGATGGTCCTTCTGTGTATGTCCCAGTGATTTGCTACGGAGAAAGGAAACTAGACTATCACAGCAACTCCAGACTCGTACTACACATTGCTCTAGGTTCCTCGGGTATTTGGAGGTGGGTTTCTTACTCCTATCCCTACCAGCCTGAGAAAACAAATACCCTTCCAAGGCTGTGAAGTTTCTTATAAAATAAAGTGACTCAGCGGAGAGGTCGGGAAAGATTTCAGCAATAACGTAATTTGCAAGGATTTTATTTTGAATTTCTGCCTTGCAAGTTACAAACTCAAAATGGGACATTTGCTGCATGTGCTATTTCAGCTGTGACTTTTCTCCTATTTAAGTGGAATCATGTAGAGAAACCTAACAAGTTCTTGCTTAGTAAATATTTTAGTTCTGGGGCCTATCCTTCACTTTCACTAGTGAATTTTATGTGCCCATTCCTTCACTCATTCAAATTCATTTAATATTTACTGAGCATCTCTTATGTGCCAGGTGCTACAATTAATCAGCGAGCAAAACACACTGATAAAATAGTGACTGGGGGGCTAGTTTTGATTGAGGGAGCTGAGAAATTATTGTGAGAGGTGACATTTAGGATAAAAATCTGGGTGATAATCATGAGCCAGGAACCTAAAGAAATCCAGGAGGCTGCAGCCTTTGAGATCCAGTTAGAAAGTTGGGAGGGACTGGTGTGTACAGGTTTGTAAGCTGAGTTTGGATTCATTCTAGGTGTAACGGGAAGCTACTATTTTAAGCACAGGAGTGACATGATCTAATTTACACTTTAAGGCTTACCATGTGCTTCTCTGCAGCCACGGAGATGAACTTGGCTGAGAATGCACACAAGCACAGGCCCGGGTCTCACTTAACATCATAAACATGGACTTCCAGTGGCTCTCAATGCTGTCTGCACACACGTTCCTAGTCCATTACCTGCCTCTCTCCTAGACAACTGCTCAACACCTCCTCTCTGGAAGCCTTCCCACCTCGCCCTGCTTACTCCCACTGATGGCCCTGCTCCCCACTTCATTAAGAAAATGGCACAATCAGAAGGGAACTTCCATAATCTTCCGCATCAACCCCCACATTGGTATTTGTATCCAATACGCCACCATCCCTCTGGCTCTCTTAGCTCCACCATTCCTATGTGAGGCCAAACACTTCACTCCCTCTCTCTTCTCCGGGACATTCTCCAACAGCTCTCCCTGCTCATCCCTGCATCATTGTATCTTGCCTGTCTGCTGGATCTCTGCTTATTAGCATAGAAACCTGGCGTGGTTTCTTCCCCATCTAAAAACAAAACAAAACGCTCTTTTCCTTTTGTGTACTTGTCAGTGCTCCAGCCATATTCTTTCTGTAAGTACAATGCTTAACTTGCAGTTCACTTGGTTCCCTCCTTGACTCGTTTCTGATCAAATGTTACCTCTTTAGAGATGCCAGAAGTATGACACAGCCCCTACCAAAATAAGTCACTTTTCATGTTTTTCTCATTTGCATTTTCATGACTTGAAATTATATGCTTACGTGCTGTCCTATTACAATGTAGCTCCTGGAAAGCAAGAGTCCTTTCTTTCTTCTCTCTCCAAAGCACCTACCCTAGTACCAGGCAAGTCTCAGTCACTTGATTAACTGGTAAAATTCCAGAAGAAGCTATTTGAAAGGAGAGGTTCAAAGGTGGACTTCTAACAAATGTAAAATACTAGAGCATATTTTCATGACGAGGGGAGAAATCCTGTAGAAAAGGATGTATTAAAGCAGGAGCCAGGGAACAATGCACAAACAGGTAATCTAAATTTTATAGGCATCTTGGCAGAGTTTGAGAAATGGAAACAAATGAGAGGATCTGGGGCGCTACCTTCATTAGCACTATGCAACTCTCTCCTCGGACTCCTCTGCATACAGCAGTGGTCTGAGAAGACACCCCCCTGACCCTCCGCGCGAGGTTGACCGGCAGCTCTACGCAGCTGACTGCATTCTATGACACATCAAGGCTCTGCAACAGCAAATGTGTCTTTTTTTTTTTTTTTTGTATAGCTAAGATATTAAAGCCCAGGGGGATTTAAAAAACAGTAGCCTGCACATTGTTTTTCAAGGACTGTAAACTAAGAATGACGTTTTCATTAGCGCCTCTTTCTCTTTCAGGAACTATGTGAAAAACAACATTTGTTTCATGCGGGATCACCAAGACGAATTAGCGCCGAAACTCCAAAGAAACACACAAGAACAGCTCTTAGAGTGTAAAAGCTGAGTGGTGGGCGACAACCGGGGCAGCTTTTTCCGGAGACCCAATAGCCTCAAAACCTTATAAATGTTGATCCAGTGTAAGAACATTTAGTACGATGTCTTCATACCAATACATGTTGGCCACTCCCAGGTTGCCTTTTAGTGTCATGAAGCGAATTTATAAAGACCACCTTTAATCTCCACCCACAATAGGGAAGTGAGGTATAAGGTCCCAAGCCTCTATTATTCTGAGCAGGATACTGGGTGGAAAAAAATACTGGCTGGTTCAACACTTTCCACCTTTTCATAGAGCAGCTCTGAAAAACTGAACCAGTGATGCGAGCACCTTTTGCCTTCAGGTGCGTATGCAGAGAGGCAGTTGCAGCTGTACCATCCAGACAGTAAGTGGGCTAAACACAGCCTTACAGTTTTTTCCCTACTGAGACACTACTTGTACTGGGTCTCGTGTAGAGAAGAACCAGGCAGGACAATTGCATGTATGTTCTAGATTAGAATAGGGTGCTGGCTAGGACTTTAGTGATAATTCCTAATTACAGTTTAATAGGTACAAACATTATGCATCTTATTTTATGAATTATGAGCTATAATGTAAGGCAAAGTACCTTACTTTTATGAATTTCATATCTGTGTTATAAAATAATGAAACAATTCTGCAATGGCTGAGAAAAATAAGCATGTTCCCATCCATTTAAAAAGTATGAATAGAAAGGACAATTTGAAATCCCTGGGACATTTATTTAGAAACAGCCATTATTAAAATATTAGGAGTCAGGCCATTAGGTTATTTATTCAAATCTCTAAGCAGTTAGATTTGACTTTTCAAGACAAGCTCATAAAATTCTCTTTGTAAGGCATTCACGGTAACTTAATAGCGATCCAGTTTCCTACAATCCTTTGCACTTCTCAGGATTACCACTACCTCAGGTTACAGCACACACACTATAACTGATGCTGACTTTCAGATAGCTGCAGACATGATAAATGACAGACAGCAGGACAATTCCCTCACTACATTCTTCTCTATGGTGAAACAGATTGCCAGCTGTACCAGAAACCTGGGTAAAACACACAACAATAGGTTGCTCTCTTGTGCATTTCTCCAGTTGAATTTTAAAACTTGGTGAAGCATTTTACCAATAGAATTTAGATGTGATAGAAAATCTACAGTAAAGAATCTCAAACCACTAATATAAGCTATGGAAGACACTAAAAAAACTTAATGAGCAACTTACCTTGAAAATGAATCCAAAAATATGATTAACCTGAAGAAAAGAGAATCCTAAGTCAAAAACAAAACCCCTTTTTATTTAGCCTGGAATTTTCCTCCTGGCACATAACAAGCTGTCCCAACTTTGATATAAGGATACGTGATCTACTACATTTCCTTGTAACAAAGTGGAAGACTGATGTACGAAATAGTAAAACTATATTATCAGACACTCAGGAGAATGACTAAAAGTCCTGGTTCTGAAATGTACTATCTCGATTAAAACTGGCAGGGAAATTATGAGGAAAGACCTGAGGTCTCCATTCTGCCACGGTACATTTCACATGCAAGTTAGAGCATGCACTGTTTTGTTTTTTTCATTTGTTTGTTTTGGAAGAAGAGAGTATGTTCTGTAGAGGATCAATTTGAGAAATTCATTACGAATCTTCGATGGAATTAATATTACTTTTTAAAAAATCAAGATAGGTAATCAATATAAAATTTTGTTCTTTGCCAAGCATCACAGAATATAAGATATTTAACAAAATTGTTACATTTTCTTTGGAGTTCAAATGCTATATATACTTTAGCTATTTCTTGGGTTAGCCACTCATTGTTAACCAGCAGGAAACTGTTTATAAAACTATTAGATTTATTACTAGTGATTTCAACTTCAGTATCTTAAAATACTTTGTTCTATTTTTCTATTCTGAGTCTATATCTAAACAATTCTGTCTTCAAACTAATTTTTACCCAATACACCCCCAATCAGAGCTTTTTGATTTTCAAAAATAAAAAAGGGGAAATACTTATAATCTGTATGTATATATTCGCAGTTTTTATTTATAAAAACATTTACAGCACTTGTGAAAAGCCAGCGGAAGACATCAGACCCGCTCCTTTCCCACCAATTTCGTCAGGTTCTACTGGTCGTCCGTGAGTCTGCCAGGTGACGCTCCTGCAGTGGCCCTGAAACCAGACCTGGTCAGATTGTCTTCTCCTCTTTCCCGAGAAAGCATTTTGATGAGCTGCTTACTGGTCTACCTAGTTTTCAAGTCACTCGAATACTGAAAATATTACGACATCTGGTTATGTACCTTGGCCATATAATCATGTGTTTTCCCCTTTTCCATATTTCTTTTTTGAGAACACAGCAAAACAGGAGGTCATTCATTAAATACTGTTAATTAAAACTAAATGGAAAATCTCAAATTTTTAAAACAGTCTTCACAGAACCTGGAACTTTTTCATTGAATTTTATTCTCTATTTTATGAGGTTATCTATATCCTACTAGAACTTTAAATGAAGCAAATAAACACAAATGTTAAAAAAAAAGAGAGAACATAAGTCTGACAACCACAATTAAGTTTTTCACAAAGAAAATATAAAAGTTAGCCTTTGCCCCCTGCTTATGAGGGAGTGAGAGGCAGGGCAGGGGAAGGCATCGAGAAGATAAAAATTAAATAATATGTATTGTTCAGTGCAGTGCTTAAACCAAGTTTTCAAGATTTTATAACATGGTAAGGAAAATGTTCTAGAATATGGAGGTTAGATGTTGCAATTTTTCACAAAGGTTTCAAAATATTTTGGAAATTCAGGTTTTCAGGGAAGATTGTGCTGGAATACTGTCTCTACTGAGAAGCTAATTTGATTCTGGACTAGGTCTTATTTCTAGATAAAATCACTGTTGGTTATACTAAACTCCCAAACACATGTGGCAGCGCACAATGGCAGCTGATTCTGTATCACTACTCCAGGGCTCGAGGTGAGCCAGAGAGCCACTATTTCACAAATACATATTTATTATAACTTCAAGAGCAGCCATCCTATATACTCAATAGTCACTCTTTAGGTCCATTAAATAAGACACAGCAAGGGGAAAGACATATCTTGCAAAAAGGCTTTCAGGTTCAAGTTGAACTAGATTATAATGATACCATGGCACAGAGGCAGCTTGTGGACACTTTTTGTTAAAACAGCACAATATACCACCTTTTGATAAGACTCTCAGTATAGCCTTGAGTGCCAACCTAAGATTATTACTTTCCTACAACTAGAGGTGAGTCTTTCCAGAATACAAAGGTACATATGAGGTACAACCCATCACAGCTTCTTTCTCATATCCATCTTGTAAGTAAGAGGTTTCTCTTTTGAAAACTACAATTTTGTAACTTTTAAAAGATATTTAAACATTTTCTATCATATTAAATTAGCAACATAAAACATTACCCTTAATCTATAAAGTTCTATTCTGGTTCCCTGGAATTTATACACATTTTTATTTCTAATCTGAAAAAAAAAATTCCTATTTGATATTTGGTAACAGAGCATTAAAAGATACTATATACATGTAGCATATATATATTTACAAAATACACTTCAAAAAGAAGCCAACACACTTTAGCAAAAGTCTAAGCTTGCATAGATTTAAAAAAAAGAATTATGAATACAATTTTTATTAAAATAGAAAATGGGGAATAAAAGTTATAGAATGGATATGAAGAGAGACCTTTTCCAAACTTTTATTTGTGCACATTCAATTGAAAAAGATAACTTTTACAGGTTCTTTGGTGCCCATATTCAGCATACAAAAATGTAAAAGACTATTCACAAATAAAACACATTAGCTCAAACTGGAAAAAAATAACAACAAAACAATTTAAGGTAGTGCACACTGTGACAGCTCTGCTTGTGGGGACATGAGAATTACTGCGAAAATAAATAGAATGTCCTTCTGTAAAAGCAGCAATGTCATGTCTTGTAAACTTCCTTTTTATATTACAGCAAAGTTTGAAATAAAATCCAAAGGTACTGGAGCTTACACTGTAGCCGTGAATGAATAAGAGAGTCTATTTCCTCAATTACTGTTGGTCCAGTTTCCTTTTGTTTAGAGTCCAATGTGCAGCAGGTTTTAAAAGGTGCTCAGTTAGGGATTCTAACCAATTAAGTGATGAATTATAAAATCTCTTTCCTGCTTTCAAACACAAATGGGTAAATCTGTTCCACAGCAGTAGCAACAGCCTTTACATTGGGCCCTGCAATAGATACAATGGAGGAAGGGCTGAGAAGAGGCAGAGAAAGCACTTGGAAGAGCTAATTTCTCACAATTAAAAATACCCAAGTAGTTTTGGGGTTATTGTTTTAAAAAAATTTACACACACAATTATACACATAGTCATAATAAAAACCAAGAGAATAAAATGTTTTTCTGGACAGTTAAAGGAAATCGGAAACAGATGATGTTACGCATCCTGCTTTAGGGCACCAGTGTGAAAAGAGTGTACATAAACACTGCACACAAGCTCTCTGGGAGAGAATAGAAAGTGCTAGAATATGCTTCTTAAAGGAAGAAATGACAAATGGGCCTGGAAACTATCATCCCCCTGATCACTGCAGTCTGCCTTTCGGTCAGACGATTGAAGCTCGCAGGAGTATCGAGAAACCCAGCAGAGGAAAACAAAGCTGCTTCCAAAGTGTTGGGAAACCAGACGCTGTTATAGAGGCTACATGATCTAAAAATGCCCGCAGACTTGCTACTACTTGGCAGCAGCGTGTTTACTACTCATCTGGCCGCTTCACCCTCACAGCTCAATCAACAGGGCGAAAAAAGGCCCGAGGGAATAAGGTGACGCTGCAGGCTAATTATATACTGCTGGGGACACCTCAAAAATGTAACTTTTCATTTAAATAGCTCAAGAGAAACATAAAAGTGAACAGTAGAAAATATTTTCATAAAACTTACTCTGAATGAAAAGGGTTTCACTAACTACACTTACCTCCTCGAAGGACCCTAACAACATGCGCGTGCGCCACGTGTACCCGGAGGGTGTGACGGGCCCACTGCCTCCCCACTTGGCTCACCCCTCGCCCGAAGCGCACTGCCCCCGGGAGCCACTGAGTGTGTGCTCATGGGATTGTTACAACATTTCGTAAAATACTCCACATGTGAATATATAACGCATCCTAATTAACCAGGTCAGTTGTCTTCAGTGTGCTGCTGTGCTGTTTAATTCTCTACTCGCTCAATAAAAGGCAGTTTTACACATGCCTTGCTTTACTCTCTGTGCAGAGACGCGTGGCCAGGCTTTGGGAGCCCTCCAGAGTCTGCAGGCCCAAGGCCAGACACAGGCGGCTGGAAGAGGGGCCCACGCAGCCTTTTCCTCACCGCTCCATCCTTAGACTCAGGCACAGCCCTGGCTGAGGGAGGTGTGGAAACCCATGGGAAGAGTCAAAACTAAAACTATTTGTTGAGCGTTGAAAGGTGTTAATAATTTTCCTTCTCCTTTAAGGGCTCAAGGCCACTGAAGAAATTTCCCTTCACAATGCGCCAAAAGCTGGGCCTGATTCCCAAGTAACATCTGCAATGTATAACCACAGTGCCTTTAAAAGTCATCCTGCACGGCTAACGCTGCCCTTTGGCACCGAGACCTAGTGTCTTGAAACCACCCCTGCCAAATACCTGATTCAAAAGTTGTAAGCAGCACACATAATATGTAACAAATAGGTACCAATTATATTTATATAGTTTGCTTATGTAAAACCTTTATAAAGTTCATTAAATGGGATTCTCTTTAGTATTTCAAACGCAAGATACTGTAAATTAAAAACAGTATTATGAAAATATATACTAGAATATTCTTCATAGCTCTAAACTGGAAGCTATCCGAATGCCTGTGGACAGTGTATTCACACACTGGACAGTGCACAGCAATGAGAATGAGTGACCTACCACCACACGGAAGGCACAGTAAGGATGAACCTCACTAGGATGACAATGAGTGAAGACAGACACAAAATAATATACTGTAGTTTTAAAATAGTATATAAAAGCAGGTAAAACTAATCTATGGTGTTAAAAGTCAGAAGACTGGTTCCCCTTGGGCAAAAGTGACTGCAGGGGACAAATTAGACATTGTTTCTATTTTGGTATGGGCACCTCTTATCTCATTTAATATATAACTGACAAGTCTGGTTTTAATGTCATAAAATACCTGTTACTGTGATACTTCCCGTTGAAAAAATCTGTAATGTGGCTCGTAGAGACTTTATCCGATAGCACACAGCAGGATGAAGTTCAGGTTCATAACTACACAAAAAAAGCCACAATGTAAGTATTTATAGCCTGACAAGTAATTTCAAATTTGGTAAGTTATTGTGAGTTTTCAAAGGCCTACCTGGCATGAGGTCTATTGTTCTTTGTGAACTCTGGCAAACGGATTTCAAATGGCATGTTACACACTGCTAAAACGTTAACAACCTTAAAATCTGTAAATATTACCTTCAGGAGAGAAATAAAACTCAATGAATTATATTGAAACAAAAAGAAAATCTTCTCATCAGAGAAATCCTTAAAAATTAAGTTTCAATCCTTAAAAATAAAAGCAAATAAGATAAAACAAATATCTTAAGCATGGACCCACTATTTTAAGTTATCAGTGACTCATTAAATGCTGTAATTAAAAAAACCCTCAAAAACTTCATTAAGAAAATAAAACCTGACATATTTGCATGATTGAAACAGTACATCTGCAGTCTTTTGAATCTCATGTTTATTTTAATTTTTGATACTTTAAATGAGATATTTAGTCTACTGGGATAGGAGAACAAACAGACAAAATCAAAGCACAGTACAATCCTCCTCTTCTCAAGAGTCAAATGGAAAAGTCACTTTGAAACTCAATAGGGGCGTGGCTCAGCGGTTGAACATCCACCTAGGATCCAGGAGAGCGGTTTGATTCCCAGTCAGGGCACATGCCCAGGTTGCAGGTTCAATCCCCCAGGCAAGGGGTGCAGGAGGCAGCCCATCAATTACTCTATCTCATCATTGATGTTTCTATCTCTCCCTCTTCCTTCCTCTGTCTCTCAAATCAATAAAAATATAAAAACATACCCACATGGACAAGTTTTGCTACTAAATTTTTACATGGAAGAACAGTATAAAAACCCTAGATAAAGGTTAATCCTGAAAGTATTTTCTGTAGTGATTTCTTTAGTCTACTAAATTCAAATTTTTAACTTTATAACAATAAATCCTTGAATATTTGCAGTCTGGATATTTTTTGAAAATGTTACCTGAAAACCTAGTTTCTGGAGACTGCGGGCTAAACGTCTGGCACCAAATTTAGCTTCTTCTTCACTATGGTTTTAAGGAAAGAAAAAGATTATTATACAGGAAATCAATTTTACACAGGAAATCAATTTTATACTGAGGAACATGACAAACTGTACATATGATTTTGTTTCTAAGCCTACAAATGTTCCTTCCATGAGGGGAAAAATTAAAAAGTTAAAATTAAAAACCTAAGTAAAATTTACCTTGTTGCTCCAGTGCAAATAATTTTTCCTGAGGACCAAATTGTAGCTGTAATTCTAGGTTTTCTAAGTTTCATTAATACTTTCTGGGGAAAAAAAAAAAAGGGAAAAAATAGGGTTAATTCTCATATACAGGGTGGGGCAAAAGTAGGTTTATAGTTGTAAGTATGCAAAAACAGTTATTCTTGTATTATTATTTTTTATACAAACAACTGTAAACCTACTTTTGCCCCACTCTGTATGCTTCTGCTCTATGTGGCTATTTTAATGCTTAAATAGTACTCCAAGCTTATCCAAGATCGAAATAACTGTTCTCTAAATTACCCACCCATTCTGAAATCAAGTACAATACTGAACAAAAGGATGTATTAATCTAAAAGGACATTTAATTAAAAATACATGGGCTATATAAATCTCTTACTAATACTTGAAATCAATGAACTACCAAGTATGTAAACATTTCATCTCTCATTCCACTTTGGTCAGATAGCTGCAATTTATAATTTGCATGGATCCTCAAATATGGCAAATTTGTTCACATCTCAGGAGCTTTATATTCATCCGGAGTATTTTTCCTTCATATTTTCATTTCATTCAAGTTTCTCACCAGATGTGACGTCCACAGAGAGCCCTTCCCTATTTCACCTCCATCAAGAGGCCTTCCCTGACTATTCCACCATCCCCTCATCACTCTGTAAATTCTAACCCTGCTTTACTCTGCTTCATGGCATCCATCACTACTTTATCTTGTTTTAGGTTAAAATGCCTATTTCATATGCAAATTTTGAATGCAGGAGAAAAGTGTGAGCTAAAGATGTAATTTTACATTTCTTAGATATGAAAGGCATTTAAAGCTATGGGTTTGAATAAAATTACCTACAGAGTGAGTATAAATAGGTCAAGAACTAAGGTCCAAGATAATATGTGAATTTAAATTTTCATTGCAACTTTTCATTTATGGAAATATTTATCATATGCCCATTACATGTAAGAGATAAATGTTTATTGGATAACATAACACATAAACGAATCAGACATTTCTCCTTAAAACTTTTGTTACAGTCTGAGGTCTTCCTTTTCTGTCATACGCCATATTATCAAACTAGAAAGCTATTAAATCTGGGAACACAAAATTTAACTAAGATCCAAAATAAAATCTGAGCTAAAACACATTATAAAATTTCAAACACAAGTGGCTGCGAAACACCAGACTGAGTTTATTCTATATTTGTCTTTCAGCACCAGCTTGTCCATCAACTCAGCCTTTTCAGTTAACCTTCCTAGGAAAGATGACATCCCTGCCATATGGTATGTTGAAAAGTTTCAAAGTAGCATTAGGCAATTTCCTCTCTAAACTTTTTAGCAGACATAGTCATTTCTTTTTTCAAATGAACAAGGCATTATTGATGAACTTGAAAATCTTTAATTGTGGGTCACTGAAAATTTTAATTGAATTACTCTTTACTTAGTTTCTGGTACTAAGAACTAATAATTTACATAGGTATACTGGCATCTAATTTTTAGAGCTTAAATAAAGCTTTCATATATATTCTTAATTTTCATTAAAAAATATGTAAGATATATATCTCATCATTTTTTGGTTTATAAAAGCCGAATGAACACCCACTATCATTTATAATGTTAATCTCAAAACACTATGGTTAAAAGCAAGTTATTAGCTTTTATTTTCAGTATTATAGGTTTAACAAAAGCTACAATTTAGAATGTACAGGTTAGGATATGAACCATATTTTCAGCAACTTGTTACTAAAGAATACCAACTCTCTTCGCTAATTAAAGACTTCTATGACAACATACTACAAAATTATCTATTTACCTACCTACCTACATTAGGGTACTGCTCACTTAAATAAATATACATAAAAGTATAAAAGTCCCCTTCTTCAGTCAAAAGAAATTGAGAGACCAGTATAAAATGTCTAGTAGCCAGTGAGTTCTTTGGTAAGACGTGGAGATAAGTATCTCCAAAAGCTGCTAATTCATGAGAGGAGAGGCCACTTCTACAGGACTCACTGTTGTATCCAGTACAACTAGCACATGGTAAGGTGTTCAGAAACCATCTGTGGAATGAGTACATTTTAGTACATCATTTCTCACTATGCAATTAGGCTATGGAGCATATATACCAAAATTCAGATACTTACTCCAACATCACGCTTATAAATTACATTTGCTCCCTCCAAAGCAATCTTCCTTAAGTTCAAATGGCATCTTGTTCTAAAAACACAGACTACATTTGTAATTAGAATGTCCAATGCAACATCACTGTCTGCATCCATTGGGGTAGTTTAAAAACTTAGCTTCCCACCACGAAGATCACATCCTGAGAAATGAAACAAAATAAAGTAATTAAACTTCAATGTTTCTGAATTGTCACAAATAATCTTGAAAACTAAAATGCAAAAAATAAATCTATATTAATTTTTAAATGTTACTCAAATCATGTCCCTTCTTTTCCCCACTAAAAATGCCACTTTTAAAAGAATAACTTGTCATATAAAATCTTTCATAAGTAACTTTTAATTTAATAAGTAACTTTTACATGCCAGGAGGCTGCCAGACTTATCTCCTGCTACTTTCCTATACAACCACTATGTTCCAGGTGTATCACAGTTATGGCAATTCTCCAAACACACCAAGTTCAAAGGTTGGACTTTGTGGTTCCAATGCCTAGTCATTAATGCTACTATAACCCATCTCACACTTGGGCTATAAAAAGGATGATCTATTTTTCCTTTATTTCGAGTAATTGACTTAATTAAGTTTAAAGAAGAAGAAATATTATTTATAACATTTATAAACCAATTTCTCTCATTTACCAGTCATTCATTCATCATTCACTTACTGAACACCTAGTATACACTGAGGATATTGGAGGAAAAAAAGAGTAAGGCCAAGTCTTTTGACTTCATGTGTGTGTGTGTGTGTGTGTGTGTGTGTGTGTGTGTGTGTGGAGGAGCTCTAACAAATAGCATAACACCATTTTTATTGAGATCACAATCTTCCAAAATATATATCTTTTCAAAACTACTGATAGGAACATTTCCAAAATCAAACAAAACGAGCCCTAGTTTGTACTAACCATAAGACCCATATTCCAGCTAAAAAAAATTTCTTGGGTTTCCACATCTTAAAAAATAAGTAATGATAATTCAGCTTACCCAACTTACAAAGAGAAAGTCAGAAAACAGCAACACATTCAAATTATTATGTGACGAAACAATGAAGATGCCAAGAGTCCAAGTAAAGAATATTCAACTTTGTTTTTCTGCCTTCTGGTATACTAGAACACAATGACAAGGCAGACCAAGACTTCTAGCTCCTCCACAGGATCCGACTGCATCCAATTCTGTGTATCAATTGCACCTCACGTTTATGCTCCCTTCAATCTGCTTATTTTCTTGTTTTTCTGTTCTATGTGTATGTTTATGCAGCCTCAAGTGATTTTTATATATAAGGTGTGGGGCAGGGGTGGCAGTGGCCCGCCTTAACAGATACACAGGTAGATTAATAAGTGAAGGACAGAGTCCGTTATCAGTACTGATCTTAAGCAGCAGGCTCAATGTCTGACCAACCACTTACTAGTTATGAGAACTTGGGCAAGTTATACGGTCTCTCTATGCCTTGGCTTTCTCATCTGTGACATGTAATAATAGATGGTGCCTACGAAATAGTGCTGTGGGGATTATATAAAATGTGTGAAAAGTACTTAGCACATGTACCTGGGAATAATAACACAAAAACGACAGTGATTATGGACAAAATGAGTTCAAGTTAACAGGCAGAACAGATTTCTTAGCATCACTTCCCATGATTATAACTGTGAGAAAGAGGCTCCTAGTTACACACCCCAACATCCATTCCACCCTTCCTTCACAAGGAACAGAACCCAGATGTCTAGCTGCAAACATTGTGGCAGAAATAAAATACTACATCTTTCAGGTACAGCCAAAAAGCCACAATGCTCTGTCTGGTCAATAAAATGTAAAGTGAAATGGTTTTGTGTCTTTTGGAAAGTCTGCTTAGAGGAACTGATCTAAGCCAGCAAAACCACCCTTTGCCTTTCTGCCCTTCTTCATTCTTGCTGCTTGGAGCCTGAGTGTGAGAGCTGGGCCTCAAGGAATCATTTGGGATGGTGAGACCATGAGGTAAGGATGGTAGAGAAGTTAGACAGAAGTCTGAGTCTTTGGTACCATGAAAACTCCTTATTATCCTGGTACTAATTCCAGATTTCATGAATACAAGAGAAAAACCCATTTCTATATTAAGGCCCTTGTGTTGGATTTCTGCTGTGTGCAGCCAAATCTAATCCTAACTGACACACATCTCATGAGAATAAGCTACAAGAGACACGACTTAAGGAGAAATTACATAGAAAGAAGCTATGTCAAACTTACTGCTTCACACAGACTTTTACATCAAACAGGCTGAAACAAATTTACTCAGGTCTTCTCTGAGCAGTAAACTAGTGAACTGAGGAGAAAATTCACGGATAATACGCAGGGTAAAAGTCAAGACAGAAGGAGTGAAGCAAATCTTTGTGAATGTAAAGCAGCCTTGAAATTCAACAGAGATGATTATTTTTGTACTTCAGCAACTTAAAGTCTAAAGGTGAGGTCACAGACATAGTTCATCGTAAGTATGTACTTATATACTTATACAGCCAATATGTTAGAAATTATTCTATTCAGAGATTTGGCATCTGAGTGAGTTAACTTTTCTTCTCTTGTTTTGTAGTCTAGACTTTTCTCTTTTAAAACAACAAATATATATTAGATTTACTATAAGAAAAATAAAGTTAATTCCATTTTGATTTAAATATAATTATCAGTTATTTGTCGAAGGTCTAATACTAAGACATGGTTTAACCAGCTGTTTTGTCCTGTTTCTGGAGTAAATACCTAGTATGAGTTCAAATATATCCTTCTAATAAAAAGCAAAGTTCAAAATTGCAGCTGTTCTAACTTCAGGGAATGTCGTATTTCTATCTTTCATTAAAATGCATTATAGAAGTTGAAGCAACTTTTCCCTTGACCCATGATTTTACAGACCAGAACACACTGTGTTATTTAGGTCCTCTGCCTTTCTAGTGGTATTTAAAAACATTCCTTCAGCAACCTGTAACCTTAAAACATCACCTGGAAAACACTGCCACCTCCTGGCTTTAAAGACAAATTGCACCCAAGACTATTAACATTTTAAATTCCACAGCAGAAAAGATATTTAAACTGAAAGGCCACAATAAACACTGTCATAAAAACAAAGCAAAAACTACTCTAAAATCAAACTAAAAGCCAAAAAAGAAAACCTTAAATAAACCTTAGTTTACAGAAAAGTAGATTCTAGCTACTTAAAGTGTATTCAAGTTGCATATGAAGATACTGAGGGAGGGGCCTAAAATTGCCATCCATGATTTAAGAAATGGCAGAAGGGGAAGACTAGATATAGGCTTATTTGCAAACACAACATGAACCCACATGGTCTACTAGGGATCATTCTTTACTAAAAGTAAGACATGCCATTTAAACCAATTCTTCTTTATAAAGCTCCCAAAGTAGATTAGGAAATAGATATTTTGTGTGGTGATTCCATACAAAATACCTGCTTTTCCATACAAAATACCATACAAGTCTCCCAACACATGCTTGTGACCAAGATGGAAAAAAATGAAACATTTTGCACTTGAGAAAGGTGTTCTTTTACACATGTTTAATAGTACAGCATATATCTTACTTTTCTGGAAATTAATAATAATATCACTGTACCTCCCAGGGTGCTTCTAAGAATTCGATTTAATTATCTATGTCAAGTAGATAGCACACAACATGTTTATTAAATGGCAGCTATTACTGTTTGGTAGATTCACGTAGTTGAATATTGTAACCAAATAGTATTTAATGAATTAGTACAAAGCTTGAGAACAGTCACATTAACAGATAGAGAAAACTGAGATCTTAATAGGTCAGGAAGGAGTCGGCAAACTATAGCCAAAGAGCCAGTGCTTGTTCTATAAAAAAGGTTTTATTGAAACAACCATGCTCATGTGTTTATGTAATGACTATGGCACCGCTGAACAGTTCTGACAAAGACCAAATGACCCACAAGTCTAAAATAGTTACTCTCTGGTCTTTTAAAAAAGTTTGCTGACTCCTGGGCTAGTCCAAATGAGGCAATATACCAAGAAAATAAAATTTAACGCTGATAAATGTAAAGCTCACATTTTTATTAAAATGACCAAAACATCTGTATATCATGATCCTTCAATGGATCCTACTTTGAAGAGAACAGATGGTAAGAGATATGGATCCTGAGTGATAAATGATGTTTGGGAATTACTGTAAATTTTGTTAGGTGAAAGAGTGGTTATGTAGATAAATATGCTTATTTTTTTAGAGATGTGTACTGAAATATTCAAGGGGGAATGTTATGTCTGTAATTTATGTTAAAATACAGGCATTTTTCACTATCAGACCTCAGCAACAAATAGATTTGGATAAAGTTTCAGATGACTCCCTTGGTATCTAGAATCTTGCCCACAGGAATCAAACAAATTTAGATAACCTATTCAGAATTGATGTGGCTAGTAGGTACAACTGTATTTTAAGAAAAAATGCAATATTACTGCTTCATCTCTTAACAATTGTTAAATTGAGGTGACAGATAATACATGAGTGTTTGTTACACTACTCTCCCTACATTTCTGTCTGAAAATTTCCGTAATTTTACAAAGCTGCTTAAGAAAAAGACTTTTCTTCCCAATAGGTCACACTAAGACAACATGGAGTTTTAATTATATTACTTTAAAGAAAACCAAAAAAAACAACAAACCCTAGGTTAGACAGTGTCCAGGCAAAGGGAAGTAACAGTCTCTTTGCTATTGAAACATGTAGAATATCCTGACCTTATCATTAAAGAGGGTACTGATATCCAGAGGAAAGTAGGTGATATGAGATATAAAAATAGTTGTGTGAGGAAAGTCTCAGGACATTTAGCACAAGAAAGGGAAGATGGCAGTTGTTCTCAAATACCTGAATAAAAAGGAAACTTTATTTTATGAGATCACACAGAAGTAAATCTCATGAAGCCACACCAAAAAACAAATACTTGCACAGCATAGGACTCCACAGAAGATAAGTGTCAAAAAAGAAACAAGTGGAGAGGTAGGGCTAGATAATTAACCAACAGTTAGGCAGGTTACAGAACGAGTCTTCTGTAAGGTGGGAGATGACTGACACTAGATGGTTTCTAAAATCCCATCTAATTCTAAAATTTCAGATTCTAACATCTTAGATGAAGACACACTATAGACACATTTAGGAATTATATATAAATTTCTATTTTAATTCTAGAGCTATTATGTTAGTTTAGTTAAATTAATATCAAAATTCTGAACTCCCCACTTCCCTCAACAGCATAGACAGT